GGAACATAAAAGAGATCCTTCAAAGATTTTACAGTCTTTTGTGTGAGTCCCAACGAATAAATTAGCAATCACAATAAAATATGAAGACAGCCATGAAGAGGGAAGTCAATGAACTCTGGGGACATAGAGGAAGGAAGGGAGTGAGGGTTCAAGCTGCCCTCTGAAATGAGTAAAAGGAAGTGAGATGGGGGAGCAGGAGAGAATGTTCCAGACAGGAAGAACAGCCTGTACAAAGGCTTGGGCATCAGTAAGGGCCTGGCATTTTCAAGGAACTGAAAGAAGGTCCATGTGGCTGGGACAAAGTGATGTGGTGGGTGGTGGAGCTGGAGGAAAAAGTTGAGCCTGGAGAAGTAGGCAGAAATGTGGGCTTTGTCCTGAGGGTAATGGGGAGGCATTGAAGAATTTCGAGAGGGGAGAGCCTTGCTCAGACTCGTGTTTTGGAGATCACTGGGCTTTTGAGAGGAAGATGGACTGGACCAGGAAGGCCTGGAAGCTGGGGCATGAGTTCACGGCTGTGGTCCAGCAGAGAGATGGAGGAGGAGCAGGAGACGAATTCAGGACACATCCAGGTAGCCAACTAACACACTTTGCTGATGGACTGGATGTGGGCAGTGAGGGAGAGCCCAGGGACAGAGATGACCCTTGGATTTCCGACCTGAGGAACCAAGAGGACATCCCGTCAGGAACGACAGACACATCAACGGGCACGTCAAGTCTTTGGGACAGGGGAATGGGGCCTATTTTGGGGCCAGGGGTGGAAATACCATTTGGGACCCTTACATCTCAGCTGGACTGGCCCTGATCCCTGATTCCCGGCCCCCTGGGTAGGGCAGGATGAATCCAGTTTCAGCTGTCAGTGATGGAGATGAGTAAACAAATGCTCAATCCTTACTGAGCTGCTCCAGGAGACCCTAGGCAAGTCACTGCCCTGATGAGCCTCAGGTGACACTGGTGTGACGGGGATGACACTTCTGCCTAGCTGCCCAACCCCGGTCAGCCACAGCTGTCAAATGCAATTGAAGATGATGAAGAGCTGCTGCCCCAGCTGCTTGGATGCTCTGTGACTGAGAGCATCCTCGTTCCACCCACTGCCTTGGGGACAGGCTTCTGCAGGAGCCTGGGCAGAGCCTGGGGCAGGAACGTTCCTTCCCTGTCTTTCAGGGAGAAGGACCACATATCTGCCTGTTCCAGTGCCCTCTGGCCAAAGCGGAGTGGGCTGTTGCAGCAGCCCCTGGGGCAAGCACGGCAGATTCCTGGGTGGTGTGCCTGCCCACTTTAGTCAGAGGCGTTGAGACAAGGAGTTACCATGGCCGTTCCTCCCACTCAGATCCAATTCCCCTTCACACTCTCCTAACAGGCCTAACAGTGTCTGGCCTGCTTTCCTGCCATGGCCCTTTCCCTTCCCCTGGCCACAGCACTGTCTCCCCTGCTGCCCCTCCACAAAGCTCTGCCTCACTGCCACCTCCTCCAGGGAGCATTCCTGATTGCTCTGACAGACCTCCAGGTCCTAGAGTCCTCACAGCAGCATAAGGATCTCTCAAGATGCTTCACATAGGCCCAGATTCGGGATATTTTGTCTGGAAGGTCCCTTGGCATCCATCTCACAGCCTGGGAGAACTGAGGAGGAATAAGCTTGGTTAACCCCTGGTGAGGAAACCACCTCAAAAATGTCCCTGGTCCCAGCCACCTCCCAAAGAAGACTGAGGCACACTGGGCCCTTTGCGTCCATCTCACCTGCCCTTCCTTCAGTCCTGTGTTTACTCGGTCAGTCCTGTGTTTACTCGAACGCTAAAGGTTCACTGCATGCCAGACATCATGCTTGGCCCTGGGGATGCCCACAGCATGGGGCAAGGCAGACACAGCCTGTCCTCGTGTGACTGGCTCTCAGTCTTGCATTTAGGCTGTGCCCCGTGCCGGGGTTTCATGCTGTTGCCCATTTTTTTTTTTTTTTTTTTTGAGACGGAGTCTTGCTCTGTCACCCAGGCTGGAGTGCAATGGCGTGATCTCGGCACACTGCAAGCTCCACCTCCCAGGTTCACGCCATTCTCCTGCCTCAGCCTCCCCAGCAGCTGGGACTACAGGCGCCCGCCACCAAGTCCAGCTAATTTTTTGTATATTTAGTAGAGATGGGGTTTCACCACGTTAGCCAGGATGGTCTCGATCTCCTGACCTCGTGATCCACCCGCCTCGGCCTCCCAAAGTGCTGGGATTACAGGTGTGAACCACTGCACTCGGCCTCAGTATGAATCTTATCTACAAAACCTAGCCCTATGCCCTACAGCCACCTCTTTCAGGCAGCCTTCCATGAATTCTGGCCAGAAGCAGCCTCTCCCCAATCTGTGCCCCAAAGCCCTTTAATCTCACCTGCATGTCCCTATAAGGGGTCAGGCCCTGTTCCCCCACCCCTACCCACTGTGAAACCCCACAACAGCAGGGTCTGGCCTCTGTCCACCCTGCAGCCCCGGGCACAGCCCCGAGAGGCCAGCTGCCCCTGCCAGCCAGGCAGCCTGCACCAGCCTTGAGCTGAACCAGAACCTTCCTAGTCCAGAACCTTCCACTGCTACTTTCATGATCTGTTCCCCAGAACAAACAGGGGAATTTGGGTCCTTCTGGAGAAAGCTCTGAGTCTGCGGGAAAGCGAAGAAAACTCAGAACCCATCAGGGAGTTTCCCCAGCAGCAGGGACTGCAGTCACTTCATCATTAATCAGGCTGCTCGCTGGGTCACAGCTGTCCCTTGCAGTTGTGTAGCACAGAAGAGCATGTAGTGGCTTCTGTGGCAAGTGGAGTTCCCACAATAGGGCAGGCAGAAGCCACAGGGCAGAGCACACAGAGGGCAGCGAGGGCAGGAGGGGTGGGCAGCAGAGGTGCCCCTTCCTGCCTGTTCCCAGGACCCAGGCCCGGCCCTACACCTCCGGGCTCAGGCTCTGTCGCCAGGTCAGGGCTGCCCTGTGCCTGCACACCTTCCCCTGCCCAGCGCGACCTCCTTTGCAGGGGGACTCTGCAGGGAGCTACTCTGAGGCTGCTCCTCCCCTTCTCTGGGATGTTGGCACCAAGGAGGTGCCCAGGCAGGAAAAGCAGCCTCCCCTCCCGCTCCTCTGCATGTGCAAATGGAAGCCAGCCCTGGGCGCAGGAGGCGTGGCTGGGGGCAAAGAACCCATCTGGGCTGTGGCTTGAGGAGGGGGCAGGGTCAGGGTCTCTGGTAGCTGATGCGACCTCCAGAGAAGCAGAGAAATGTTGGTGCGAGGCCCGCCAAGGGGGTCTCCATCTTCCTGAGATCTACCGTTTTGGCAGGGCTCTGTGGGACAGACCAAACTTCCTTCTACAGGTGATGAGATTGAGGTCCAGAGAGGGTCTGAGAGCCGCCCGAGGTCACACAGAGGATCCCGCCCACAGAAAGATTCCTCCATGAGCAGGGAAGCCCCCCTCCCAGGTGCGGAAGCAGCCAGGCCTCCCTTGTTGAGGGGTGGGGAGAGGAGCGCCTGGGGCTCCTCCGAGGTTGAGGGTCTCTGGTTTCCTCTCATAGGATCCCCGCCCTTTCACCTGAGGACTGATGAGGTTAGCTTTGAGCGATGCTCCGGGAGCGTGGGGTTTCCACAGGTCCCCAGAATCTAAAACCAAGAAACAAAAAACCTCACGACAAATAGCGGCTGTTGCTGTTATCATGACAGTTAGTGAAAATCTTTGTAAAGATACAGTGATTAACGCAGGGTGGACTGTGAGAGGGTGGAAGGCACCTGTGTCTTGTTTTGGAGGGGCAGTGCTATCATTTTGAGTTGGCCCTGGTCATGCAGGGACAGGGTGAAGCCAGGCCGAGGTCCCCCATGTCACAATCAGAGTCCAGGTGCTGCCCTGCCTGGAGCCGCCCTTCCCTGGTGCTGCCCACCTGAAGGCCATGGGACTCTCATCCTACTGAAGGGATGCCCGTGCTTGGGCTCCTGCGAGCCCCAACAGGGCGACTGGCAACTTCCTCGGGTGGTCAGGGGACTGACCCACTTGCAGGGATGCTGTGACCTGGGGCTGAGACCCTAGAGTCACAGAGAAGCCAGTTCACCAACTTTATCAACCTCCTTATGATTGCAATTCTTGTTTTATTCCTGACCCTACTGGAAAGTGGACTCGTGTTCTGTCATCTGCCCTGCAATGAGCTGGGGTGCCTGGAAAGTCAGCTCAGGGCCTGACTCAGGCTGGACCCTGACCAGGCGTCTAGTACTGACTCCGGGACACAGCTCTGCTAGAAGTGAGAAGCAGCATCTCCCACTGAGCCCTTCGTTCTGTTCTGTATCTTAGGGTAAGGCATCCCATTTAGGGGAACGTGGTTTCCTGAGCTATTTGGACTGAATGATGATCGAAGCGCCACCGGGCTCTTGCCTCCTGCGGTCAGGGCCTCGCCTGAGATGGGACACCAGCCAAAGCTGCTCTGTACCCTGGCTGGGCCTCAGCCTCTCGGAGGCAGATGGACCTCCCTGCAGAGTGATGCCCATGTGCCCATGCCTGGCAGCCGCGGTGGCCCCGACAGCACCCTGAAGCTCACTCATGGTCCAGAAGAGCTCCGCTTGGTTTCTGCCTGGTTGACTCCCCAACACCCCCGTCTGTCCCCCCCACTCAAGCCACCACGCATGAAGGAGGCTCTCCAGCCAGAGAGATGAACCCAGCTGTGCATGGAGGCTTTTCAATTCTAATAGAGGAACCAAGAAATGTCCCCTTTGAAAGGAGAAGTATGTCACTGCCATGGGCTCCAGATACATGTACCCCACCTCCATCTGCAGTTGAGTGCCCCTTCTCTGGAAATCCACAAATATTCCAAGAGCTGGACTTCTCCTGAATCATCTCAAATTCTTCGAACTTCGCTGGTCTAGGGAAGGATGTGAGGGGGTGACAGAAGGCGGGGCAAGACCCTCAAAGAGGTTAAATAGGTCACTGCCACCCTCGACTCTCACCAGGGTGTCTCCCTAAGCAGAGGGACCCGCACACAGAGACTCCCTCCTGGGCTCCTGGCACCATGGCCCCACTGAAGATGCTGGCCCTGGTCATCCTCCTCCTGGGGGCTTCTCTGCAGCACATCCATGCAGGTGAGAGCAGGAGACAGGTGGCCAGGGGTGGGCACTGGGAGAACAGGAGTTAGGGGCATGAAGCAACACACACATTTGTGTATGATTTACACCCCACCTACTCCCACCAAAGACATGAGAAGCCCACAGCACTAGGATTTTGAGGGAAATAAGCAGAGAAAAATGTTGATGATGACCCAGCTCTTGTGGGTGGGCTTGGTGAAGTCCAAAGCGAGCACAGCTCGGGCTGCAATGGCTGCGAGGTGGGGGCTGTGGCTGTAGTTGTGCAATGGAAAATGAACAATTCTCAAAATTATTTATTAGCCTCTGTTTTATTAACAGGTTTTATGCACAATGAGGGAATCAGCATAAAGATAGGATAATTGGTTCCAAAAGCATGTAAAAAAAGATTCTTTTTTTGAGATGGAGTCTCGCTATGTTGTCCAAGCTGGAGTGCAATGGTGCAATCTCAGCTCACTGCAACCTCTGCCTCCCGGGTTCAAGCAATAATCCTACCTCAGCCTCCCGAGTAGCTGGTAATTCAGGGGCCCAGCCACCATGCCACCAATGGATTTTCACCATGTTGGTCAGGCTGGTCTCGAACTCCTGACCTCAGGCAATGCACCCACTTCGGCCTCCCAAAGTGCTGGGATTACAGGCATGAGCCTCAGTGCTCAGCCTGAAAAATAGATTCTTATATTAGGTTGGCAAAGGGAAGATGAAATAAGGTTGCCAGGTATAGACATACAGGGACGCACACAGACACACACACGTAGGCACTCACAGGACACACAGGATCCCCCACAGACACACACAGACATGCATACCCACAAACATACGGGACCCCCACAGCATACACAGAGGCCTCACACACACTTGTGCACGGTAACACACAGACACACATACACATAGGCAGCGATGCACACGCAGTCACCACACACAGGTGCACACATGAACATGCACATGCAGATCTTCCATGAATAGCCTCCAGGAGACCCCGCAACCCACACCCAGATACTCACAGACACCCCTGCCCCGCTCCTCTCCCTGCAGCTCGAGGGACCAACGTGGGCCGGGAGTGCTGCCTGAAGTACTTCAAGGGAGCCATTCCCCTTAGAAAGCTGAAGACGTGGTACCAGACACCCGAGGACTGTTCCAGGGATGCCATTGTGTAAGTTCCCCCCGGCCCTACCCCTGCTCCTCGGGGCCAAGCTTGGGGACAAGTGCTCCCAGGAGCTCCCAGGACGGCCACTGGGGAGCAGGGAAGAGACAGTGGGGCCTTCCTCCCTGACCTCTGCAGGCTCCTTGGGGCAGTTCATGTTCCCCATGCTGTGGGACCCAAAACGGCTGCAGGCCATGAGGTCCAACCTGTTCCTTGATTTGTGGTGAAATCGAGGCCCCGGAAGCGATGAACACCCCCAGGTCACACAGCTGGTCAGGGGCAATGTGGTCACCTCCCCTGGCCTGGGCCTAAGCCCTGCCTGCAGTCTCCACGTCCCAGGCTCTAGGCCACCTGGGGGCATGGGCAGGCTGAGGGGTGGGCACAAGGTCCTGCAGCCCTGGCTGCCTGGGAGGGTTGATGTCACTCAGGACAGAGCCTGAAGTCCCAGATCTGCCACCAATGCCCTGTGTGACTGCAGCAACTTCTTGCCCCTCTTGGAGCCTTGGAATCCTGGTCAGCACAGAGCGGGGCCGTTCCAGGGACTCTGGGGGCCCTTCCCCCTCTGCCACCCCGGTAACGTCCTCCTTCTGTGTAGTTTTGTAACTGTCCAGAACAAGGCCATCTGTTCGGACCCCAACGACAAGAAAGTGAAGAAGGCACTTAAATACCTGCAAAGCCTCTAGAGGTCTTGAAGCCTCCTCACCTCAGACCCCTGACTGTCTTCCGGGACCACCTGGGACCTCCACCGTTGGTGTTCACCGCCCCAACCCTGAGCACTTGGGTCCAGGGGAGGCCTTCCAAGGACAAAGAAGCGCCACAGTGAGGGAGATCCCATCCCCTTGTCTGAACTGGAGCCATGGGCACAAAGGGCCCAGATTAAATTCTTTCTCCTCAGTCTGTGTCAGCGTGTTCGTCCCCACAGTGCAAGACGTGCTTCCACTCCAGCCTGTCACTCTGGGAGGGTCCTCAGAGAACATCTGGTTCTGCCCTGTGCAGGTTGGAAAGGGAGACTGAGGCTGAGAGGGGCACGTGGCTTCCGCAGACCAGGCACCAGTGAGGGGAGGCCCTGGTGAGAGGCCCGGGCAGGGGCGGGGCTGGCGGGGTCCTGGGAGGTGGTGGCTGAAATGTGTCCCCACCTACCCCGAGGTCTCCCGGTTTCCCCCTAGCCCAGCTCCTGTTCTTGCCCCACGTGGAGTTGAGGACAAGCTTCCCCAAGGTGCTGGAGTCCATTTCACAGACTGGCCAGGAGCCTGCCGCAGGCCACAGCTCTGCCCAGTGCTGGGGAGCCCCCTGGCCGAGGGTGGCGGGACCTTGCAGCCCTGTCTCTGCGTCCCCCTGCACTCACTGCAGGCCAGCTGGCCCGGCTCCTCCTGGCCCTGGCTCCCTCTCCCCGCTCAAACTCCAGACCAGCTTCAGAGCGAGGGGGATCTGTGGGTCCTTGGTCCTTGCGGGGGCCCTGGGTCCTCCGCCTGCAGCTACCTTCCTAGCCCCCTCCAGCCCCAGGCAGGCGGGCACCACGCGGCCCTGTGGTTCCTCCTGACTGAAGTGTGATTCCCCACCTGCCTGGGCTGACCTCCCCACTAGCTCAGCTGCGCCCAGCCTGCAGGAAGCCGGCCCAGCACAGCTGCCCACCGACTGGCTCCCCCAGTTCTTAGGGACTGCCCGGAAGCCGACCCCCTGCACCCCCTGTCTCTTATACACATCTAGATGTGTATAAGAGATGTGTGTGTGTGTGTGTGTGTGCGCGCGTCAGTCCCAGCTCCTCCATTAGGTTGAGAGCCCCATGAGCCACTCCGGGGACCCCGCACCCCTGTGCTCAAAAAGATGGGGACTAGAGGCTCAGGACACCCCCACCCCCAGACCCCTGCCCATGCCCCGCTACGGGCTGAGCACAGAGGAGTCAGGGCCTTCCCTTCTACTTCTCTTTCACTCATCCAACCAGCGATGGGGCCGTGGCTTCTCTGTGCACACAGTTTGGCGGCAGGGGCATGGGTCCTTCTCTTCCGAGGACCTCGTGGCCGGCATTGTTTGGCAGGGCTGCGGTTAGAAGGGCAATTTCCAGGCCCGACTGTTGCCTCCTTCTGCCCCCTTGTGGCCAGTCAACTCATTGCAGGGCAGATGATAGAACGCAAGTCTACTTTCCAGTAGGGGCAGGATTAAAACAAGAACAGCGATAAAAAGGTTGATAAAACCAGTGAACTGGCTTCCCTGTGACTCTAGGGTCTCTTCGGTCGCAAATGGGCTCATATCCTGTCCTGATGCCGAGGAGGATCCCTTGAACAACTGCCTAAGATCCAGAGTCCTAGGGGTGGCCCAGTCTGAGTTCTTCATGGAAAATTGTCCTCTGAATCCACCCGGTGGAGGATGATCTAAAAAGGAAGGGAGGCAAGGAGAAGCTCCTAAGGTAGCAAAGGCCAGCGACGGTTGGGGTCTGGACCCCTGCACCCTGCAGGCCAGAGCTGGAAGGACTCTCAGAGTGCAATGGCTGGATTTCGGCTTACTGCAACCTCCACCTCCCAGGTTCAAGCGATTCTCCTGCCTCAGCCTCCTAAGTAGCTAGGATTACAGGCGCCTGCCACCACACCCAGCTAATTTTTTTGCATTTTTAGTAGAGACAGGGTTTCACCATGTCAATCAGGCTGGTCTTGAACTCTTGGCCTCATGTGATCCACTCGCCTTGGCCTCCCAAAGTGTTGAAATCCCAGGCATGAGCCACTGCGCCTGGCCTCCAGCAAACTGCATTTAAAAAAGCAAGACCTTTTTTTTTTCCCCCCCTACTGAAATCCTACTCAGAAGCCCATATTATAAGCTGAGATAAGTAGAGCTGCCGTGGAGGCCTGTGAGGAGGTGGGGAGTTGCCAGAGGGTCCCTGAAAGCGAGATAGGGTGGGGGTGTTGCATAAAGGCAGGGAAGAGGTGGATCCAGGACTGGCAACAAAATGCACGATTCAGAATTCAAGTATTCACGAGCAGCATCCGGTGCAAGTTGGGGGATGGTGAGATGCAAGAGCTAGGACAACTGCCATGTGACCTCAGGGCATTTTAAGGAGGTATGACTTGGAGGCTGCCATGATTGGAAAGCTGGGAGGGAAAAAGAGGAATGGTGAGGTTCAGGGTGAAAAGTGAGGAGGAGTGCCAGACTTACGTTGCTTCTTTCAGCTGATAGGTGCCTCCCCTCCTCCCCCACCCCACCCCTGCTTTTTTTTCTTTTCAGATGGAGTCTGGCTGTGTCCCCAGGCTGCAGTGCAGTGGTGTGATCTCGGCTCACTGCAACCTCTGTCTCCCAGGTTCAAGGGATACTCATGCCTCAGCTTCCTGAGTAGCTGGGATTATAGGTGTGTGCCACCATACCCGGCTGATTTTTGTATTTTTAGAAAAGACAGGGTTTTACCATGTTGGCCAGGCTTGTCTCGAACTCCTGAGCTCAAGTGATCCGCCTGCCTCAGCCTCCCAAAGTGCTGGGATTACAGGCGTGAGCCACTCTTCTGAAATCCAGTTTCTCTTCAACGTTCAACTCAGTGTTGCCTCCCCGGCAGCCAGACAACCAGCCCTGGTCTCTCTGGTTGCATCTGAGCCTGGGCTGTGTGTCCTCCACCTGCTGCCAGCGCTCACCTCAGTCTAATCCTGACCACACTCTGTCCCTTGTAATTGGAGCTGCTTGGGTGATTTACCCGGTAAACGCACTGAGCAGGTATTTGGGTCAGGAAACAGTACCAGACTCATTTATGAGGAGGGAAAAAAGCTTTGTGCATAGTGTATATTTGATTTATAGATTTTCATCAGTGCTGCTTGGGTGAATTCCATAAGGGGCACTAGTGGGGAAAGAGAAATTTCCTGGGGAGCCCTAACAACCGGGCCTGAAACACATCTCATCTCCAAATGTGGAAATTAGAATTGGTTTGTTCTCCAACGGCCCACCAGAGGGCACTCTGCTCTTAGGAGGAAGTTCTGAGGCTGATGCACCAGAGGCCCTGACCCCACCAGCTGGACTCCAACCCCATCTCTGTCCCCGGGGGCTGGGATCAGCCACATCTGTTTGTAGCTGCACTAGGCCTTGAGGCAGGGGTGTCTGTAGCTGGCCAGCTCTCCTCTTGGGGGAACAGAAGCTAAGAAACCACCAATTACACTGCCTGGGGTTTGCTGGATGAAGAGGAAGAAGGAAGGAACGCTGCTGGGACTAGCAGGGCTACTAACTCCAGACGCAACCTGGGCAGTGCCAAGAGCTGTGGGCCAGGGTGTTTCCCTGTATTTTCTTAGAGACTGTATTTGTTCTATTTGGCATCCATTTATCACAGGGCCAAAGGCATTTACACCTCCCCTGCAAGCCGGATTTTGCAAGTTTTTGAAAGTAGTAATAGTTACAAACCCTCTGACCAATCCCGATCACAGACCCCCCAACCATCTGTATTTAACTCTCACACCAAGCCAAGATTTCCCCTGCCCTAAATCACCCAAAGCCGGGTAGAGACAACTAGGGGCAGCCCCTATGCCCAAGGCCCTCTGGAATTATTCCAACTAGCCAGACCTGGGCTGCTTCCCCTGGCCTGCCTTGCCCTTCAAGTGGAAACCCCATGAAAGGCTGTGGCCTGTGCTGTTCTGAACCTTCCTTTCAGCCTCCTGACCAAACTTGGTGCTCCCTCTGTGGCCCCTGTGTGTGGTCCTGCGTGTGTGCCATGCCCTGTTCTCCTGGGAGATGCAAGTAATAAATTCTTCTTTCAGTGGCCTTGGTTGCTCTGTGTTTTCACTCAGCCACCTCTATCAATTCAAATCCTGTGGGTACATTTAAAAATTTTTTAATTGACACATAGTAATTGTACACATTTATGGGGCACAGGTGATACTTTGACACAGGTGTCCAATGCATAATGATCAGATCAAGGTAATCAGGATATCCATCACCTTGAACATTTACCATTTCACTATGTTGGGAATGTTTCAAATCTTCTAGTCATTTTGAAATATACAATAGGCCGGGCATAGTGGCTCACACCTGTAATCCCAGCACTCTGGGAGGCCGAGGTGGGAGGATCACTTGAGCCCAGGAGTTTGAGACCAGTCTGGGTAACATAGTGAGGCTCAGTCTTTATGAAACACAAAAAATTAGCCAGGCATGGTAGCGTGCGCCTGTGCTGCCAGCTACCCAGGAGGCTGAGGTGGGAGGATCACTTGAGCACAGCAGGTTGAGGCTGCAGTGAACTGTGATGGCACCACTGCACTCCAGCTAGGGTGACAGAGGGAGACCCTGTCTCAAAAAGAAAAAAAAGGCCAGGCATAGTGGCTCACACCTGGAATCCTAGCACTTTGGGAGGCCAAGGCGGGTAGGTCATCTGTTCAGGAGTTCTAGGCCAGCTTGGCCAACATGGTGAAACCCTGTCTCTAAAAAATACAAAAAAAATTAGCTGGATGTGGTGGCAGGCACCTGTAATCCTAGCTACTCAGGAGGCTGAGGCAGGAGAATCCCTTGAACCCAGGAGAGGTTGCAGCGAGCCAAGATCGCGCCATTGCACTCCAGCCTGGGCAACAAGAGCAAAACTCCGTCTCAAAAAAAACAGAAAGAAAAGAAAAGAAAAAGAAAAAGAAAAGAAATACACAATAAATTGTTTACTAGTCACCCTACTGTGCAATCAAACACTGGAAATTATTCCTTCTATCCATCTGTTTGTTTGCACCCATTAACCAATCTC